CCCCAGAATCCCAAGCCCCCCGCCATCGCTCCTAACAGCATGCGCTTGGGGAGGCGGTTGTCCTCCATGCGCATAACAAAGCCCGCGAAACACAGTCTCCGTTTGCGCACGGTGGCCTCGATGGTTTCCTCGCAGCCGGCCTGGATGAGGGCCTGGGCATAGGACAGGGGGGCTGTCTGAGCGTTGCCGCTTGCTCCAGCCGATGCAGCGTGGAAGTAACTGGCGGTGGGTCCCATTGAGCTTCGTGTAGTGCTCCGCTGTTTGGCTCCACGAGGTGCACCCATACAGGAGTCTCCACCACTTCAGCCTGGAGTAGCCGGATCTTGAGCTGGCGGTCGGCCCGTCGCCTGTCGTACATGGAAGCACTGTTCCGGCGGTAGCACTTCCACGCTCGGCAGCTGCGGCTCGTGATGAATGGTGGGCCCGGGTGATGGCATACGTTTGCGGGACTTTGCATATTATTGAAGGTTGAATGCCTCGTGAAACACATGCAACGGGGTTGATCAACCATGAACTAAAACGACCACTAAATATCTCCCATTTACTTACGTGAGGTGAGAAGGTATGGTGTTTGTTTGTTACTGCTGTAGGAGCTTCACCCTAACTACTGCTGCTGTAGATCCATCCATATGTAGTTTTAGTCTATAGTCTAATCGTCACAACCTCTGGCGCTTCCGATTCATCGAGAGAGGACCTCAAAGTGACGAGTTTCCACCGAAGTGCCTAGGATTTCTGTGTTTGCTTAGACGAAACTCTCGCCACAAATACTGCTGTAGACTACAACGATCACCACCTTTCAGCCGCATTCTTGCCAATACTACTGCTGTCAAGGGCGAGCACATCTCGCTTTTGTTTCCGGTTTAAAGGAACGCCCGCCCGACGGTGGCTTGCCTCCTAGATGTAGTAGATGTAGATTCTGCCGTAGACACTCTTGTCCACGAGCACGTTGAGATGGGAAGGTTGCTTGTTATTGCAGAAGCGGGTCTGCTACAGGTCTGAGGTGAGGCGGATTGCCCTCAACCTGGGGGCACGCAGATAGCTAAGTCCCGATGGGGTACGTCCTAAGAGGGTATACCTCCTGACGTCCCCCATCTTAATCTAGACCGACTGTGTACCCTATCTGTGCCATACAGCAACACTCCTTAACACTAGCCCACCCTGAAGATCATCCATACAGATTCTATACTCAAATCCTAAGGCTACTAATAGCTGGTGATTTAGGATCATGAATCGAAAGATATGACTCTTCATAAGTGTATCCAAAGGAAAGAGGAGCTGTAAGAATATCCCGACTCGACCCCCCACACCACCATTGAGACAAAAGGTAATTCCGATGACGCGGAAACACAACTAGTGGCAACTCAATGATAAGGTTATACGCATGGAGGGATATAGCTAGGCAAGATGTGCTGCAAAGCACCATGTTTTAACACAAAAAACAAAATAAATCAATATCAACGCCACACACCACTCTATTTCGCGCGCAAGCGCGTATTACGACTGGAGGAATGAGGGTGGCGACACAAGAGAGTCCAGAATTACTCCCGCAAAATTCAGTGGGACAGGACGACGGGCACACTACGGCTGAATGCGCTGACCACAAAAGGTAAGACTGAAGAACGTTCATGGCCAAAACGGAAGAGAGGCGTTAATTGCCACCCCAACCAAACTGCACAAAGAAACGTGGAGTCCAAACCATGTAAAACCAATGGCTGGACGAGGCACGAATGATCAAAGTCGAAAACTAATGCGACTAGCCACCCTATATCTCGAACAGACGGGCGATGATGAAACACAAACACACAACAAACACATAATAAACAGAAAACACATAAACATGCATACAACACTAGGACTCGGGATCTCGACTATGATGATGTAGTCGAC